GATCCGGATCGGTTTTTGAAAAGCCCGATCCGGGTCACCGATCCGATTTTTAAACCATTGCTTCAAACAATAAAGAGAGAGTGTTTGATTCAAAAGGGATAGTGCGTATGCTTTTCTAGGTATTGAGATACAAACTCTGCTCCATCCTGCAAAAATAGGGTGTGAGAGAGAGAGATTCGTCGCAAGGAACACAAATTGTAATGGATAATGAAGAACAAGTTTATCTTGAATGAAGAGGATGGGTTATTGGGGAAGAAAAGCAAAAAAATAAAACTATTTACTTTTAGTATCACATTTAGTTGGGAATATACCATTGATCAGATTTAAAGTTTTTAAAAAATATTTAAATATTATAACACACCCCAAGGTTTCATTTTTCACACAACAAATAAACATGCTGGCGACCTTCTTGCACTAAATATATATTGATCATATAGCATATAATCTCCATTAAATAAGTATTTTCCTATTATGAACAAGGAGCCTATGAGTGTGCATCCCGCTTTCAATTCATCCTCCCATGCATCTACTATACATAGTAATAATTACTTCTAATAATTAAAAATTAGAAAGCAAGCTAAATAATAATGGAAAAAGTTTATATAAGGTGTTAACCTTGCATTATAAAAATAAAATGCAACTTAAGAACCACTACGAAAGGTTCTAGAAAATCCTTTAGTTCCTTACCTTGATCTCAAGATGTATTTATATGAAAAAAAAAAGATTTCATCCATAGATCTGCTCAATCTATATTATTCTGTAACTATAAATTTCACACAAATTTATTTTGAAGCCATTGTAGGAGTTTTCGGCACCAAAACTATAACTTCTGGTAAGGTTTGAAAGTACGCCTTTGATGATATAAAGTTTCCTCTTTATATAAACTGCCCCAGTGAAACCAAAACTTACCCATTAATTCATGTCACCCCAGAGAATATATCAATAGATTTTGATGAATTTTTGTGTGAAAATTGTGCCACTCATGAAGATTACCAAAAACTCGATTGGAGTTGGTGAAAACGTTTGTATCAATCATAGATCTGACTGACCATCAAACCAGTGAGGCTTGTGGTCCAATAAAATCTTTTCGGTGGTTGGTTGAATCCATTTCACTATATATCCATATAATAATTTTTTTAAAAAAAAGAATAACAATTTAAAGGAAAATGATTCTATGTGAACCCAACAATATATATAAGTTATATGCGACCCCACTTCTTAACCATTTGTTCTAAATCAAATAGCTACGATTGTTCATACCACAATATCACGTCAAACACTATTTTATTTTTCATTTTTTTTTCCACAACATTTTTTTATAAAAATTTGGGGGTCACATAAAAAAATTAGGGCGAATCTAAAAAAATACAAAACTAATATTTTATGTAAAAATAAATAACCAAAATGACCCTATAATTTTCAGGGGTGTTCTGGTAATTTTTTATCCTCGGAAATATTTTTATCATGTGCGCTTTTGTTAGATTTATGCATGCCCCAAATTTTGTTTCAAAATTATTTGTAGAATAAAAATAAAAAACTAAACGCTATGATAGTTAAGTGTTAGCTTGTGACATTGTGACTCAAGCCATCTCAGCTATCTATTCAGATATGATAGTTGAAACCCGAGGTCACATATAACATATAATATATGTGTGGGTGGGGTCCCATGGCAAGCCTTCCCTAATTTAAAAACATAAACCTATCACAAAAAGTGCCCAACTTTGTTTCACCGGACTAGTCAAAACCGGCCAATCCAACTAGCCAAACTTAATCAAATATTAATTGTGATAAGTTATATATTAAACTATATTTTTATTTTAGACTAAATCAGCCAAGACATTGATTGGCAATCCGACAAATTAGATCAATTGATCCAGTTTGGTCTTGATAGCTATGGTTTCATAATAAAATCATATAAAATGACTATTTACCTTTGATACAAGGTGTTAACAATTAATCTTGACCGTTAGATGTAAAATCGGGTGACTACATTTATTTTATTGACCAAGCTCAAAATTCAAAAAAAAATTTCTCAAACTTTAAGACACACCCAAACTATCATAGTAATTGTGATCTCTATATACCAAAGATAAAAGTTTTCATTGTATACATCCTGGTTTCACAGGCATTTATATAATAAAAACAGAAATTTTCCTAAAGGCCTTGGCATCATCTGAGCCGTTGGCTATTGACATTAACGTATGAGATGATGCAAAGCTGCTGTGAGCAAACTACCGCGCTCATTGAATAAGTCCTAAAACTTCCTATCCTGCATAGGATTGTTGCAAAAACAACGCTCCTACAATTTATCATCAGATTCGGTGAATAAAGTACGAATTCTATTTAAACAAACTTATGAGCCTGCATGAATAACGTGCATTTATCACGTTTAAGATTATGCATTTATCACGTTTAAGATTAGTGTATCATGCAGTATATATAGCAAGAAAATCGAGGCGTCAATTCTCGTGTAAAAATCTGCATTGTTGTTGCTAAAGAAGCAGGTGGAAGATTCATTCATGGCTGGTTCTTCTGCAACATCCTTCCTGAAAAATCAGTATTGGGTTCTTAGACATGGCCGCAGCATCCCCAATGAAAGGGGCATCATTATCTCCAATAGGGTTAAGTGTCTCTCTAATTTTCAGGTTTCTTTGTATTGGCCTATGCTCCTATTGGATTAGAGTCAATATTCTCTGGGCTTTTTTTTTCTCCCTTTTTTTATTGAAAATCACTGTTTTTGCTCTAGGAATTTTTGCCTCATTGTTCTTCTAAAGTATGTAAGTACATATGAGGACTTGTTTCATCTGCACCTGCAAATTATTGAACAATATCAAGAATTGGACCTAAATTCATCAGTATGGAGTTTAACTTCTTCTTTTTGCCCTTTCTGGATCATTTGTAAATCGATTCTTTTTTGTTTTCCTGGATTTATTTGGGTTTCTGTCGTTTAAGAGGAGTGGGAATTAGTAAATGAAGATCCCCACCCCAATTTACTGAACATTCGTGAGTTTGACATCGGGGTTAGGCATCGAATTTAACATGCACACAACTGCAAAAGAATTAGAAGAAGTCAATTTCCCTGAAATGTTTGTTTTTTTTGTAATAAAATTCCTAAACGCCTTCTTTTTCGAGAGCATGATGGTCTTTTGTTTGAGCAGTTCTATGCATTCTTAACCCATATAGAGCACTTTTAACCCATATAGAGCCCTTTTCAAAGTGTTTCCGCCCTTCTGTTATCGGTATTCAATAGGGAGGACATGTTTAGCATTCCTGTTTTTCGGTTCATCCCTGTGAATCCTTCAGCTTATGCATTCAAATATGGGGATTTCAAGATTTCGTCCTGAAATATGTCTCAACTTCCCCAATGGGTTCTTTTTTGTCTCTTGTGCTTGACTATGTGCAAGTTGTCTAATAGGGTGGAAAAGGCTGTTAAATTTGTTCTGTGATACCAATGTCATATTTTCTATTGCAGAAAAGAATTCACTGGTGATGGCTGTTGGTTTCTTAATGTTCTTTTACTTATATTTTTCCTTTTACTGGATATATCTGCCTTTGGCTTCATGTTTTATGCAACTTGGCATATCTCCACCCTTATCGGTTGCCTGTTAAAATAGGAATTTTGTTTGGTGGTGAAAAATGTTCAAGTTGTTATTATAAATTATATGTTCTGCTGGAGCGTATGCGACTTTCTTATGTATAATTGTGTCCATTTGGATTTTCATGTGAGGTTAAAAATTATTCTAGTAATATACTTCCATGCACCTTTTTTAATTAAAATTCAAATTGCTTGGAGGGCTCTCCAGTACAGCCCGAGATTTTCCATCTAGTTTGTATTTGTAAGAGTTGGTTCTACTTTCTATTGTCGCTCTGACAAACTTCACAAACAAGAGAGAGCTAATCCCTCATCTGCTCATAGTAACATCACAAAAGGTCACTTTCCTATTCTAGTCACTGGGACAAAAAATTTTGGTTGGATAGATTGTCTGCACAGTATGCATGTCTCACTCACACCTTGAGGTTTCTGGTGTAGTTCTGGTATCATCTTAGTAACGTTCTTAGCTAAATTCATAAATAAGGAAAAGTAGCAATTGATGCAGACAATGTTGGTTGCAACTAAACCGTTGTTTGCTCATGCTCTTAGATACCGTCTTGTACTGAAAATTATAAAAGTTTGTTAAAGACTGGTAGGAATCTCTGTAACTTCTACGAAAGTCCTTACTCAATACAAATGTTAACAGTTTCAAAAACAATAGAAAAGACTGGTAAACATTTATCGTTGTCCAGTAGACTTTTGTCTAACCATTCTAACTTGTTAATGTTTTGATAGGTCTATGGCATACTTCCACAATATGGATTGTCTTCTAAAGGTGTTCAGCAAGCAGCGTCTGCTGGTGAATCATTCCTAAGGGTATGTTTGTTTAGCTAGTCCTGTTTGTAAACTAGTTGGTTCAGTTGTTAGATTCTGGCAAACTGTTTGCCAGTAATTTTTTACAATTAAAAAAATGATGTCGACTACTTTCTATTGATGCCAACATTTTAGTGGCACACCCTTCTCATGATGTGTTCCTGAAAATGAAGATATATCTCAGGGAAATGTTTAATAGGCTTTCCAGAGAAATCTACCAAGTGACTATTAAATTTGTCAAATTCAACAGAAAAATAGAAGAAATGCATCGAAATCAAACCAGTTGAGCTTGTTTAGATGAGTGAAATTTATGTTTATTCAAGCTCTAATTGGATCCAGGAACTGACTTGCATTTTCTTACATCCTTAATATATTAATGGCAGCTATAGACGAGCCCTTAGGTATCAAAGCAAATGTGGCCATCAATATTGTGCATCTTCTTGAGATGTGATACTGTGATTTCCTATAAAGAAATCTTCAAGATACTAAAACTGTTCAAACCATTGGATCCTAGCATCAAGTATTCTTCAAGTTGGTAGAAATTTGAGTGGCTTTAGATGGGTCTATAAAGTGGAGACTCTGGAGAATGTTAATTGTTGTCATTCTAATATCATATTTGTGGCAAAGTTATACACACAGGAGTGAGTACATTATGAGAACTTTGTTCTGGCCATTGCAGGGCATGTCATATTTTCAGACGCACTCATTCACAAATGTCATGTCCATAAGTCAACAATGTGGAAGTAGTGTTGATTTGCATGGGACACACTACATGCAACCCCATGTGTTGAGCAAACTTTAGTCTATCAACTTAAGAAACACTAAATATGGTCTCAATCAAGCTTCCCAGGCTTCTTTTGTATAATTTGTTTCAATGTGGGCTTGGAGTGTCTTTCACCAACCCATATTTCTTAATGTGATGCAGCCAGTGATCAAATAGATGTTTTTTTTTTCTTTTTTCTTTTTTCCTTTTTTTTGGTTTTTTTTTTGGGGGGGGGGGGGGGGGGGGGAGGAGAGGGTGCGGTTGGAATTAATGATGTCCTTTCTAACTTGTTTGGATGATACATGTTGTCGCTTTGACAATATCACACAGTAAAGATGCGTCCATGAGACGACTGTAGCCCTGCAAAGGTGAGAGATATCGCACAAGTCGTGGCCACTTAACACTTATTGGGATCCTAGCTTACAAGGCTGCGACTCTCTTTTTGTCTCTTCTTGTCTTTCGGGTTGTTTTTAACTGTTCACCCTCTTTTGGTTTTACATCTCTCTACAACCCCTGTTATTACCTTCTTTTGTACATCGTTGTAAAGGGCGTTGCTATAAAACCCTCATTTTTTGTACAGGACCTCTTCTTTGAGGATACCTCATTTTTTTGCTGAGAGTCCCGGCTTGTGGGTGCTCCCTTTGGACCTATGTATTACATCTCTTCTTAAATACAATGTTTAAAAAAATGCAACATATGGGAGACTTGTCATACTTACCCAAGCTTGAGGTTACTAAATCAATATGGGGGTTCACATTTGTAGAACCACATTCAATTCATCATATTAGTTCTTAGGCTTGTCTTATTACTGTCAACACGCCTATAGTTCCCATTGTAAAAAATTCTGTCAGTAGTTGAAAGCCTCTTACGCATCTGATGCAATATAGATGTCCAGGGGGAGTTTTCTTTACCTTCACGGGATCAAATCACAAATGTGAATCAGGTGGTTAATCAGTTGGTTCACATACTACATACCTCTAATCTAATGGCAGTTCAATGTACATCTATCAGACTTCCCAGGTTGCCTTTTTTTTATCACTGGCATTTAGATCTCCAGGTTGGTTTACATACTATATACCTCTCATCTAATGGAAGTTTGAGGTACATCTATCTGACTTCCCAGGTTGCCTTTTTTTTTATCACTGGCATTTAGATCTCCAGGAAGTTGCCTGTGCGAATTGTTGGGTCTGTGAATATCAAGAGATCTGCTACTTAGATGCCTTCAGGGAGGTCACTTTTTCATGAGCATAGCAAAGTATGGTGCTGTTTCCACACCCTTTGATGAGATCTTGTGGTTTCAACCTTAGATTTGAAAATTATGTTATTTGAACTTACTTGATCAGGGGTTATCAAATGCTACTAAAGGAATAGCCCTTGATAGAGCGGAATGACGGGAATATGATTTGGTATAGCCGATCACAAATAGTTGGGATGAGGCTCGGATGATGAGGACGAGGGGTTATCAAATGCAGCCGCACACAGCATTATGCAGTCACATTGAGGTGAAGTGGCCCATGGCTGTAATTTTAGGCCCGCTTAGGCAGCATATTGGTTACATAGTTGGCCGCATGCGCAGCAAACGCCCATGCAGCTGCATCTTGCATCTCTGCTCATGGGTATATAGTCCACAAGCAAGGTTTTTTAAAACTATTCTTTTTTTCTATTTTTTTGGTTCTAAGATGATTAAATCCAACTTGTCAAGATCAATTTTCGTTTAGATTTTAATTTTTCGAGCAAAACATATATGGTTTTTCCAGCAACTTTCTGAGTTGACTTTGAGCTCACTTTCGAAGGACTTAGGCGTACAGTATTGAGTTATCAACTCATCGAGAGCTTGAAGGCAATTGAACCAAGAAATCGAAATTTATTTACCTGTTATTTATGTTAGAGACAGAAAATGTCTCTATTCTCTATCAGCAACTGAGACTGCATATATATTAGAGATGACTATCAAATTAAAATTCGTACTATCATATATGTCACATATTTGTGTAATTCTCTGTATTCTTATAAATTTTAAATGCTTTTTGACTTTTTATGTTTATTGCATGCATGGGAACTGACGTTCCTGCCCCGAGTAGCACGTCTGGGCATCGCCTAGCACCTCTAGCTGCATCCCGCATTAATAGCCTTGACTCGATTATGGAAAAAAGTTCTCTACTCCATGTACCATCAGAAAAGACAACAATACTGTAATTAATGTGATATTACCAAATATCTTGAAGTACATAGCCCTGTTAGTAATAGATTAATTGATGGCACTATCAGTCTTCATACATTACTTCAGCCTTACAACTTGCAAACTTGTTTCCCGAATCTTTAATTTGTGATACACGACTATCCATGCTTGAATCTGACATTGGGAGTTATTGAGAGTTGTATGTGTCATTCTTTATATTAGTCAATTTGTAAACGTGCTTGTCCATAAGGGCTTAAACTCTCATTGTCATTCATCAAAATCTGGAATTCTTGTGTACTTAACAGCATTCTTCCATTGCCACCCTGATAACATTTTGTTCTGTAAATTCCGATATCAAGTTTGGAGCAATCTTGTGAAACATCAGAGCCTTGTGAGAGGAATCTCCGTCAAATTTCCAATATCCAAGAAGCTCTTCACATTCACTTCCTAAAACCTTAGGAAATAGAACTTAAAGTCATGATCATTTTCTGGTGTAGTAAATTATATCTGCATATGCATAGAAACACAAAATTAGAAGCGGAAGCATGTTTGTTTAAATAGGACAATCACAAGCATTCCCACAATGCTTATAAATATTAGTGAATGATGATATAATGCTAGCTTCCTTTTATTCTTGGCATGGAAGATAAATGTATATATTCAGTTATCCCCATTGCTCTTTATTTCTATTAACTGCTTGCAGGAACTGAAAGCTAAAAATATACCGCTTGAGAATGTCCGAATTTGCTACTCTCCATTCTCAAGAACGATTCATACTGCCCAAGTTGTTGCAAGAGTAATGAACCTACCATTTGATGGCCCTCAATTTAAGGTAAATTATTGTATTAATGGCTTGTAAGTACGCCTTACTTTACTTTTCTTTAGTTTTTATTACATGACTTTTTTTATTTCTTACCAATGGCTTGCAACCATTAGTTTTCCTTTGTTTTCAACACATTTTCACCTGTGAAAGGGTGTCTTCTATCATTGTTTGTACATCATGTGCATGAGAAATTATGAAATGTTATTCTGCACTTTTTGTGATTGAAAACAAAACTTAAACCAATTAACTGATATAGCTTATGTCTTTTCTTCTTTTAATACAAATGATGTAGCTTCTGCCTTGAAAAGTGAAACTTGATAGAGTTATATCCTCTAATACACATTTACTTATGATAAGAATAGAATCTATGAAACACTTTTTTAATGATTTCTTGAACTGAACCCAATAAGCAATTCTGCTTAGAAAATTTTAGTTTGGTATGAGTTATTTATTTCTTGTTTGTCCTTCATGACTGGCATTGTTTGATGTCCAATATGTAATTTTTTTTATTTTTTTTTTAAATAACTCATCTACTACTATAGATTTAGATTCTGTTTTTGTGACATTTGGATATGAAGTCTGGTGGGTTTTTTTTTCCTTTTTCTTTCTAATGATGGCCTAGAACACTGATAGGTGATTGAGGACCTTCGAGAACGTAAATTTGGGCCGACTTTTGAACTCCAATCACATGATAAAGTAAGTTCTGACTGTTTCTGATTAAGAGTCGTGTTATTAAGCAACTTAGAAATATGTAGTTATAAGATGATATTAGGGTGTAATATGATGATACATTTGTATATTTGTTATTAACCAACTTAGAACGTTATTTTGTGCATGATTTCATTATTTATTGTTCCATAAAATTCTTAATAACTACATTTAATTAGTTGTACATGCTGACAAGTAAATATAGTTTTCTTATTTGTATTTCATTTGTATGTAAGTCATATTCATTAGCATCTTCGAGAGTACTTTGATCATATGTGTGTGTGTCTGCACATATTGTGTTCACCACATGTATTGCATTGATCCGCTTGCTGTCGATGATATTCTTCATGCGCTGATACTATACATTGATCTGTCAATTTGAAAATCTAGTGGCAAGTTATTCATCTTATGCCCTTCATGCTAGAGAATGCTATTTCAAATTGACTTATACGAGATTTATTTCTGAAACTGGAGCTTATGCTTTGATTTATTTCCAACTCCAAAATCTTGTATGTGAGCATATTTCTCAAGAAAGTATAGTAAGTAGGCTCTTGACTTTGAAACTTAACGCTCTTTAGAGTAAATAGATAGTTGATAGTTAAAAAGCATGACCAAAACTTTACTATTCTCAAGTTCATCAGTTATCAAATGCTCAGTAATGTGAAGCTTGATTTCACTTGTATTCTATGTTATTGCATTTCTAAATTGTTAAATGCTTTTCCGACAGTATCCAGAGATATGGGATCTGGATGAAAAGGATCCTTTTCTACCCCCTGAAGGCGGGGAAAGTGTGGCTAATGTCGCTTCTAGACTTGCAAATGCATTGGCAACTATAGAGGCAGAATTTGACGGGTATCGATTTTCACCCTTTTCTCTGAATAAACATGAACTCCATTTTTCTGCAGTAATTTCCCAATTCCATCAATAAATGTTTATTATTTAGGATTGCTTCAAATTCATTGTTACAATCTTAAAAATGATATTCCACTGCCATATGTACATGTTCTTGTGCTTCTATTCTGCAGGTTGTGTAAGTCACCACCCTTGATTTAATAGCACTATACGCAACCCAATGAATTCTCCACTGATATTCTTTAAAGCTTTTAAAACATTACAAGAATATAAACGAGGCATTTACCCATTTCAAACAGTTCGCTTCCTTGAACTTTGAATCCATAATGAAAAACCACATAGCTAAATCCATATATTCTTTGTATTCAGTTTCACGCTTTTTTCTTGAAATTTACAGCAATATTCTTGCAGATGTGTGGTTCTTGTGGTTAGCCACGGCGACCCATTACAGATCCTACAAACAGTCATCCATACAGCTATGCAAGAGACAAACGGCTCCAAAGATATTCCCTCAATTATAAATGGAGTTACAACACATTCAACATTATCACAGCACCGGAAGTTTGCTTTGGCTACTGGAGAACTGAGACTCGTCACATAATCAGATAAAAAAGGGCCTTTCTTTAAATGGGAGACCAAATCCTTATGGTAGTTGATTTACAGATGGTAAATTTGCAGCTGGCTACATCAAAGTACTCCTCTTTTTCTTTTCTTTTTCTGAATGTTAGGCTATATTAAATTATTTTTACTAATTTATTAGGGCTTGGGCACTTGCTCAATGGGGCATTGCACTTGGCCGAATATTTGAATTTCGGAAAACCTTCTAATAAAATTTATTTGGGTGACGGCCAGAGTTATCCAAGCACCTATATCGCTTTTCTACTTAATTAGCTTCACTCTCGTAGACTAAAACCAGGTCTACATGTCTTCCTAGAGCACACTGAAAATGCATGAGGATGTTTGGGCACTTGGGGATTTGAATTTTTCTCATGATAACTAATGTTTTTCTTTTTTTTTCTTGGGTATTTTAGGGAAGACAGGCCCTAGGTTTTTCATATATATATTGGGGAGTTAGATTGTTTGAAGGTGTCAGTGAGTGGTGTCAGCAGGATTGAAAACCACAACATGATAACTAGGTACGAGGTGTTCGCACCACGACCCAACATATGAGAAATAATGGTTATGTTCATCAAGTTAGTATCAACATATGAGAAATAATGGTTATGTTCATCAAGTTAGTATGTTTTAGCAGTTACACTATCAATCATCAACCTTGCAGAGAGCCAACTAGCTCCATAGAGAGAGAATATTATAACGGATAGTCTCATTAGTGTCATAGAACGACTTGGGAATTGGGCTAAGAGCATTCTCGCTTAGTGATACTTTATAAATTGAGATTGTATACAATGAGACTATTTACCTTTAGTACAAAGAGATCACAATTAGTTATAACCATCTAATGTAAATATGATAGCTTAGGTGTGTCACATCACAAAATTTGAAAAAATTTGTTTCGAACTTTGAGAGAATAAATGAAACCATCCAATTTCAAATCTAATGGTCAAGATTAATTGTAACCACCTTGTAGCAAAGTGATTGGTCTCATTGCATACTTTTCCTTCCAAATTAGCGCATGAGATCTTGACCTAGTCTGGGTTGCAATTAGTTTGGATTGCAGTTTTTATGGGTCAAGCTTGACCTAGTCTGGGTTGTAGTTAGTCTGGATTGCATTTTTTATGGGTCAAGCAAACTTCCGTGTAAGAAATTGTAGAAGTAACACTAATCACTGATACCACCCACAGGAGAGAGAGAGAGAGAGAGAGAGAGAGAGAGCTTAATTCTTTCATTTTGGTGGAGAGAGTGAGATTCTTTCACTTTGGCTGAGAGAGAGAGAGAACGACTCAGTACGGAGAAATCAAGGTATTCCCAAATGACGGCCTCCTGAACCCAGGCTCCCACTTCATTTCTCTTTTTATTTTTATTTTACATGAGATTCTACCTTCCACGAATTGGGTTTGGATAGCTACCAAATAGCACAAAAAAAACTCTTATGCTGAAGACAACAACAACCAGCTTAATGTAACTACAATAACAAATCATCAACCAAATGAAACTCACCGTGTCACTAGATCTGCAGTTATTGGCTCAGCTTCCTCATCTTCCTCACTAACTTCAGCCGATTCAAGATCACTGTCCTCTACACCTTCCAGCATATTGGACAACTGGTTGGAGAAAGTCTCTTATCAGTCACTCTAGCTATTGCATCCAAGGTTTTAAAACCCAGCGATTTTCGATCCAAATCATTGATCCATATGGGAATCGGTCGGGACCAAACTGCCCCAGGATGGTATGGGTCCTCGTTTGGTTCCCTCCCTAAATCCCCCCTTATATGCTTCTCTTTTTTTTTTGGCTTATTTAATGTTTGTCTTAGATCTTCTCCAAATCTCCACCCTATGAACCTCTATTTTAATTTTAAGTTATTTTATTTATTTTTAATATTTTCTATACCACTGATTTAGACTAATCTAAACATGATCTGGATCACCAATCGAACATTTGACATAGATATGTGGGTGATCGATCCATCCCACCAATATGGCTTTTGAAACATTAGTTGCATCATCATCCATATTTTAGGAATGAAACAAAGAAAATAGAGAAAACCAACCTGTGATACTTCTTGAGCGCCATGATCCAAGCCTTCTTCTGCCTTATAAACCTAATGTTCCATTACACTTCATCAGTCATTTATACAAGCAATGGAAAGTATACTTCAATCCAATTGACTGTGTTTTACCAGTCTGTTGGGATCATCAACATCCAATCAAATGATAGACAGTGGGCAATGTGAGACCCACCGAAACAGGACATGAACTACATGGTGAGTCCTCCTCTCTCCGGTCACCATTTCTCTTTTGATTGGCTGATAATGACGCAATTCTTTTGAATGGCTAAAAACATATGGGAAAGCTTTCTATGTCCCCCCTACAACATAGAAGTTCTATCCTCCCCCTTATCCAACCTTCCATTTTTGAATGAAGGGCTAAGATTGCCCCAATTACAATGTCACGTCCCTACACTATTTTATTTTTAATTTTTTTTCTATAAACTATTTTGACACCAAATTTTGGACGTCCATTCCTCTATTAAAATCGCACTAACGAAAAATATAAAAAAAAATATTTTCAATAAAATAAAATAACCAAAATACCCCTGAAAGTTTCAAGGGGTATTTTGGTCATCATTTTTTATCAAAAAATTATTGTTAATGTTTTTTATAGGTGCGCCCCAATGAGAAGATGGAGCGTGCCAAATTTCATATTCAGAAAATTTGTATTAAAAAAACTAAAAAGAAAATACTTTGGGACGTCAGATCTAAAATCAAACGGTGAGTGGCTCTCTTGATAAAAAATGGACCGCTGGATGGTAGGGGGAGGATAGAACTTCTATGTTGTATGGGGAACATAGAAAGCTTTCCCAAAACATATACCAACTTACAAAACTGAATAAAAAATCAATAGGGACTAACTTCTGCTGCTTCATGTTCAATCCCATTCAAGCTTTCATCCACCTTGTAGTATGCCTGTTTTTTCAACAAATCCCGTTAGCCTATTTTTCTTATTTGATAAGTAATTAACCATTAGTTTTGAAAATACATTTATAACCACTTTCAAATTTGAAAATATACTAGAAGAGAGGCATACCACACAAGTTTGAGGAGGTGATAGCACTTTAAATGAGTTGGGCCGGTTGTTGAAATTTGTTTCTGGCTTCCCCGGTTCCCCTTCCGGGGATGTGAAATGGTCCACATCATGACCCACCTGCAGATGCCGAACAGCCATTTTGTTATTTTCAACTTGTGGGCATGCAAAACCTTACCAGTCTGTTAATTAAGTTCAAAAGAGTATAGGGCAACTAGTCGGACTAAATGAGAATCCAAAATACATATCAAAGACCATTCTATATTTAGTCATTGTTCCCCTCCATGTCATTCACATATGGCACATGGGGTACTTTGGTATGTGCATTGGTATAATTGTGTACCATGAAGTATGGTGTATGGCACACTACCTGGTGCATCTATTGCATATTATTGAGGAAATATTAAAGCTAGAAATATTCCAATCCAAAGCCACACCATGGGTTCCCAGCAAGGTTGTTTCCATGTTCTATTTTCATTTAAATTTTCCATATTTCAGCTTTTGATCATCTGTTGGGACAGGAATACACCATTAGTGAATTCCATTTACTTCACAAATTAACATGCTAACAATCAACACAGGATAGGTTTAGTTGCCACTTGCTATTGAGAAACAATTTTGGCATGCAAATAAAACAGATAAGCTAAAAATAAGGCACTCACCCTTCCGTGTCCTCCAAATTCCAAAGCATCACTATCTAAGGCAACTCTATATTTTCCTGGCAAGTCGCATCCAACCTTGAACCTGGAGATTTTCATAAAAAAAAAATTTAGATAAAGGGGAGGGTATGCTATATGCTCATCCTTACCATCTGAGTCGATGGGTGAACGAGATGATTTGTCCCTGCAACTTGACGCAGATTAATGGAGTTAGAGGGATGAATGACCATCTCCCAGTTCTCCACCATCCATGCATTTAGTCAAACTATGGACTTGAGCACGACTTATCCAATAAATTTATACAAAGATAATGCTGTTAAAAGAGAACCACACTGTACCCATCATATGTATTCTCAGTGTGAAAATTGAAAACAAATACCAAATCCCCACGTTCGAACACTATAACCTGAAAGATGCACAAGGAAACTGGAATGTAAACGCATACACCATTAAGAAAGTATTCTCAGGGTGAAATTGAAAACAAATACCAAATCCCACATTAGAACACTATAACCTGAAAGATGTACAAGGGAACTAGAATGTAAATGCATACATCATTAAGACTTCCATAAGTCAATGATTTGGCCTTCCATAAAATTAATATATTTCTATGAATTAAACATCCAAATTAAAACCAACAGGAGATTTACCTTTTCTTCATCACTTGTGTAACTCACTATTTGTTTTGTGGATGACAGGAATTGAAATGAATCCTCAAGCGCATTCATTGCTCTGTCAAAAGCATTCATAAACTGTATGCATTTTGAACAAACAAAGAGAAGCCATTAAAAATCCAGGCCCATATATCAATATTAGTAGTCAAAAAAAGGAAAGAAAGAAAATCTCCTCAAGACACTTTCCACCGTCACATTAGGTTATAGAATTAGCATGAACCGACTAAAATATACGTCCAAATAATTTTTTGAATGCAATGCTATTCAAGACAAATTTTCCATGCCTTAAAAACGGTCGTATAAGAAAGTCACAAAACCTTATATCTCAGATGATCTGTATCAACAAGATTCCACTGCCTCCTGCATTTATCATAGCTCCAGCCATTCCCTTCCCTAGGAAAGTCAATCCATTCAGGATGCCCAAACTGCAAGAAACCATGTCTCAGCCCCAATAGGGTAGTTGAAGATTAACTAGAGAGTAACATTTTCACACGGCATAGTCCTTGGTATTCACAAAAGTAAAATCATTTCCTAGCATAAACAAGTACTGATTAAATAATTATTTCTTCCCAAACAAGAGTTTTAAGGACTGGAATCAATGGTATCAACACGGCTCACCACTTATTAGTTGTATCATTGTATGTACAATAACACTTCTAGTGTATCGCATTAGGAGTTATTTACACCACAACTGACCTCATTTAATTCAATCATAGGGAAGTGATTTTGTTGTTGAAAAGCACACCAGAGAACCGATCTTCCAATCTCTCCTGATGTAGTAGGTTTTTTAATTGATATCATGAAGAACCTTGGTTATCAGGTATACATCATGTTATATCTAAGATAATTATCACAATACCATGGGAAAATATGATGTTATGAGAAAATTTACTTATGGTACTCTTCAAACCATTGCCCTGCAAATATTAGAATAGTTTTAAAAAAACAACATACAACAAACTGAATACTTTAAAATTGCAGCATCTTAATGGTAGAGAAAGGTGAAATGGAATTCGAAGGGCAAACTAGGAACCTCATTTCCCATAAAGTTGAGGTAGCCATCACCCCCTAATGCCATTGTTATGAAGTGAATCATCTGCAAAAACAAAAGAAAGAATAACGATAAAACAGAGAAGCCAACTTCATCAAGCTCTCATGAAATAGCTCATGATGAAACTTTTCAAACTATAATGACATGCATTTGTTTATCACAAACACAATAATTTCCTCATATTTCAGTGATCAAATTTTGATACAAATAGGATTATATAGTTGCATACCTTGTGAAGAGCAATCCCACGATCAACAATGGGTGAAGCCGGTTCTAGAGCAGACATGCCAATGTACATATCTTTGTCCATTAGAAGGAAAGCCATGGTCTTATCACCAACAATTGCCTGAAAATAAAGAAGAAAAGGTCACAATACCCAAAAGGCATCAGCTGTATTAAATATTAGTCCATTGGAATCAAGCTCACTGCAGTATTTGGTGATAGTTTGATTATGAAGGATTTTGCTCTTTGTGACTAATTAAGCCCAAGAAATGAGCAAATAACTGAAGACTTGCAATCAACAAAAAACTGAACAAGAATCTCTTCAACTAAAGCTAAAAGAGGTGAAAGCTAGGACAAGACCATAGTACATATAGCTGCATGGGCAATTAGATATCCTTTTTCCGCTTGTACTTCCAATTTTGGAAGAGGGAAAGTACAATAAACTCTTATGGAAAATGAAACAAAAAAAGGGACACTAGTGTCGTTCTTTAGGGACAAGGGATCAAACCTTGACCACCTCACGCAAACCAAATGCCTACAGGATCAAAGCCTAAGGGACTATTCAATGCAATATAGGAAACTCCATTATAAATTAAGCCAGCATCGTCCACTTAATTGATGGATGGTGATCGAGATAGAATACGACCCACCAGAACAAGACAACCACAATAGTTGGCTCCATTCACTCTCCATGACCGTGCATCATTTCGGTCAACGATGATGACCCACAAACTATTGGTTTTGCTGCAGTTATTGAATGGTACTATACTCTCCTTCCAAAAAAAAGTGGTCTGATGAAAAATAGGAATGGTGGAACTTGCAAAATCAGACTATTCTTGTCTGCCTGACCAAAATTCCCACTAAGATCCTCTAATCTTGCCCAAAGAAACTGCATAAAAACTCAGCCAAGGGCATTTCCACAGGCAAGTAATGTTATACAAGTACCTGATCATGACTTTCAGCATAAGCAATGCATTTTTCACTGTATCTCCTGTTTATTAAGCAAGAGGTGATCTCTTGCATAGACCATTGATCATCACTCTTGTTCTTCAAGTAATCAATCCACCTATCAGGGATGCCCATAGCCAAGCGATAATCAAAACCAACTCCACCTTCAGAAACGGGCCGACCTAATGTTGGCATACCAGAAACATCTTCAGCAATAACTGTGGCATCAGGCAAGATACTATGAATAACAGTGTTGGCCAGCATCAGGTAAACAACAGCATCCACATCAGTGTCAAAGCCAAAATATTCACTATAGTCTCCTGTAAAGGACTTGTTGATGCCATGGTGATGATATAACATTGATGTTACCCCATCAAAACGAAACCCATCAAAGTTATATTCATCCAACCACCATCTCAAGTTAGAGAGAAGAAACCGAAGGACCTCCCAATTGTTGTAGTTGAATAACCGGCTATCCCATAGTTTATGGTATCCTCTCTCTTCAGTGTGGAAGTAGGAAAGCTGCGTGCTTTGGCCTACATCAAATCCATTAAGACCATCTGTGACATTGTTACTCGCATGACTATGAACAACATCCATCAAAACCTGCAAACCCAAGCTGTGAGCTTTATCAATCAAATACTTGAGATCCTCAGGAGTTCCTGACCTACTACTGACAGCAAAGAAATTTGTGACATGGTACCCAAATGATCCATAATATGAATGCTCCATTATAGCCATCAATTGAACTGTATTATAGTTATTTTTCTTTATTCGAGGCAAAACGTTGTCTGCAAACTCTCTGTAGGAGCTCACACGGGGCTCTTCACTGCTCATTCCAACATGGGCTTCATATATGCGTGGAGCCTCAGGCTTTGGAGGGCGAGGATACTGAAACTGGTACCTGCATGATCAATCTACCCCAAATTATTGTTTCTTTTTCAGTAAGCACCAGTCAATCTGTGTAATAGTTAATCATCAGAAAAAGAAAAACAATAACTCTGAAACCAATTCATGTAATTGACATGAATCCGTCGTCCAAAGAGAAGGATAGGTAAGAAAGAGAAGCAATGCTTTCGAACCTTTCTGAAGGCGGTGGATCCCAGTATACACCATCATAAGGAGCCGCAAATATTGTGGGGTCCACAGTTGCATATGTAATCCAAGCTGGAATTCGATCAACCCATACTCCATTATCATGTTTGAAATGAAATTTGACTTTTGATCCATGTGGAATGGGGGATTTTCCATTGGAATCCGGGATCTTGATTGTCCAGACTCCAAATTGGTTTTTTACCATGCTGTGGTTGGATCCATGCCATCCATTGAAATCCCCAATAAGTTGTGCTTCCCTACATTAAAATACAAAAATATAAGAAGTTATCTTCAAGTAAGGGAAAATTTATTTTTTTAAAAAAAACACTTGATTGTGCATTTCAACATAAAGATGATCTATTATTCAGAAAGACTAAAAAAATGTCATCAGCGGATCATTGCCAGAAATAATTGGAAACTTATGATTAATTTGGTAGCTTATCGTATAGCTGCAACACGTTAGCCATAAACTAGCTTTTCAATTCAAGCACTAGATATAACTTTCTCCTCCTGAATTATAATGAAAAGCTTCACCTTTTTGACATTGGAAATGGTACCTCCTATGGAATAATCTAGACATTATTATTATCTAAGCAATAGTGACCAAAACAATAAGCATAAGCACACAATTTCATAGAAAATCAAACAAATTAAAAATTAGAAATCAAAATGTCTGGCTTCATTGAAGTGGGATCCAGACAAAAGACACCAGTCATTACCATGTGATAGTGGACCATTTGCCTCACTGCTATAGTTCACAAATGTGACCACTATTCCGCATAATTTGATTGATGGCTGCTTTCAAGAGTGATGGGACATGAACCCATAGAAGTGTGAATCAAAGAGTATCTATGGTCTCATGAACTGATACGATGAATGCTGGTTATTGTATACATTTGAGAAATGGCACATTACAGGGTGCAACTTGATGTATACACTTTCCAATGAATTTATGATTATGTATAAAATAGTAACAGATGATGATGATGATAATCACAAGATGATGACGAGGGTCTAGAAAACACTAAATGCAAGTATAGACAACATTTTTAGAAGATCTTTAGAAAACCATATTCTGCTTTTCATCTTGATTGATCTTGTTTTTAAAATATCCTTATTTGATTTGAACTCCAAAGACATGGTAGCTCTTTGTAAACTTTCATATTTGTAACCAACAAAATCAGTTCCTGGCACCTCCTATATCCAAGAAATAGAATGTCCTCGATGACCAAATGTGGAACCCAGACCTTTTGTGCCTCTGGGGCCCACATATAGCAGTTTCCAGGAGCACTTAAAACAAAAAGGACTGAAATGTTGGGAGAAGTCCAGAGATCTCAACACCATCCAGCAGTGACTAGATGCGCTTTGGATATTAATTACTTCCAAAGGATGACACTGGGTTGATAAAAGAGGAAAAAGAAAATAGCATTGACTCAGAAATTATTGTAGTTTGCAGGATCAAAGACATGAGAAATTCAATATTATCATCCAACAATAGTTGTTGGTAAAAAACTGAGCAAAAAAGATTAACTTGCAGGTTATTTCCTTCTCCATGATTTGCATTTACAGAATACCGAGGAAAATAGCTGTAGCCCATAAAAAGGAAAAATCTAAAAAGAATTAGATGAAAACTCACTGCGCTGCTGGTGCCCACTCTCGATACACAATGCCGTCATCTTCTCTGATGAAGCCAAACTTCAAATAACCTACTTAGAGAAGAATCATATTTCCAATCACATGCTTTGTTTCACAAGGGCTTATTTTACCAACCATCCCCCCCGCCCTCGCACAACCCCCCCCTCCAAAACAAATAAAATAAAACACACCCTTTCCTCCCTCAAAATTAGTAAATCTAAATGTGAAAGGTTCCTAAAGACAAAGTCTACCTCGTGCAAAGTCCTCAAGGCTTCCTTCATACTTCTCAATCGCTTCTTTCTGCTCTGTATATCTCCTCCATCGATAAAATAGATGATCCTTACACTTTTCTAAGTAAGGGTCCACATGAAAGATATCCATATTCTCCATTTCTTCATGAGTTGTAATACTAGTGTCTTTGATAGCAGTTGAAATAGCAGAATGATGCCCAATCTTCTAGTCAAGCAAGTAATCAGCCATAAAAATTCAAATTTATGATCAATAATGGTAACTGTGAAAACTAGTTGAGAACTCAGAACTTGATTTAAAAACATTCAAGTGTAAATCTTACCTCATGTGCAAATCCTGGAAGCCTCTGTTGGAACTTGATAGAACTGAGAGGGAAATTTTTTCTATACCTATCTGCTGCCCATATCGGTTGCAGGTATGAAATGGAGATTTGTCCACTGGAATTCTGTTTATAAGAAAATAATATTCTCCCTAAGACTATCAATGAAATAATCATCGAGTCCAGACATTCAAAATAGGAAATCAATCAGTAATAAAAAAAAAAGAAAACCATGATTACTGCATAACAAACAACAAAAAATAGTTTCAAACTATTAAATAAACATATTAACTTTGCTGATTGCATACCTCCATGTTCCTTAAGATTTTTTTATTCTCTCTGTTGTTATTAGTTTTCGTGAGATTATTTTTATGAAAATGAACTTGTTCCAAATTCAAGCAAGATGCTAACCAGCTTGCACACACAAATCATTTCATAAAGCATATATCAAAACCATTCTGCAGATAACAAATTACAAGTTATGCTTTCTAACTAATATATTGGTGTCCATTTTTTGTATTTTAAACTTTTTTTTTTTATGTTCTGCGAGTTGAGGTGGAACTTGCACCGGATTACTCAGCAGAGTCTGATGGACTCGGCTGTGTCCTGCTACACGGTACCTTAATTTACTCCCTGAGATGCTTACTTTATATTGGACCCAACAAGATCAAAAATTTGTTGTTCATTTTCTGATAATGGGTCACTTCCGCAGAGGCAGCATAGCATTGATGAATTGATCCAGCCACAAATCTTACAAGAACCATGGTTCTCTCATTAATCTTCTCGTATGAGTTAAATTTGTGCTGGATTTTCATATCAGGATTCGACATATTAATGGTGAACTAGGCGAGAGAGAGAGAGAGAGAAATCCAGTCCTCGATTATTGCGACTGATAATGGTGAAAAAAAACATATAAAATTTCAAGCTTGTAGAATCAAAGGCCATATACATCACATACAATCGAGGCAACACAAATTTAAGCAGAATGCAAGAGACCCAACAAATTCAGATACCAATCATAGTAAGGAAACCAAATTAAGTGACACCCATTTTCCAGATAAAGAGAGAACTTGAGTAATAATCAAAACTTTGAAACCACTAAGAGAAAATCAACAAAAATAAAAAATAAAAAAAATCAAATAAAAAGCACCAAATAAATTTAATAGAAAGTTGGAAATGTGAGATGACCTTTGAGAAACTTGTGATTGAGGATGGTGGGGGAGGAATTGCAGAATGAGAGGCGAGAGAAACGAAGGTTTTCATGGCGTTTCTTGTTGATGGAGTAAGCTGGGGATTCGAACCTGAGAAACGGAGGTGGCTGCACCCCACTACTGAATGTGAGCGTCAGACCACACACATGGACCAATCACTCTTTTATACTCTCTCTCTCTTTCCTTTTTTTTATTATTCTCTTTCTCTCTCTAGGCATCTGCACTTTCTCTCTCTAAAAATCGCCTCTCCGCCATGAGTGGCCTGACCCTACGCAGATGAGGCGCCCTCAACCTTTCTCCTTATTTTCTGGTTTTTGTTTGTTTCTTTTTGAAGGTTAACTCTCGTTATTTTCTTAACTCTTTCACTCACGTTCTCGTTATTTTTTTCTCTCTAAGTGGTCTCGTTATTTTCTGGCTTCTTTGAACGTTAACTTTCATTCTCGTTACTTTATTCACTCTTCCCTTCACATTATCGTTATCTTTTCTTTCTTCGTAGTCAGTTTTAGAGAAATTTACAAAATCGGTATTAGGGAAAAGTGAAAAACATTTTTCAGAGGGTTCAGTGGAAAGGGGCACCCTGTGATCACCTAGCCTTGTGCCTACTCCCATTTCAATTATTTTTTTTAATCTTTCTTTTTTACACTTTTTTTTTTTTAATTTCACTTTGGACCAAAGTCTTTTCACTTCAGATCTTGACGGCTGGAAGCTCAACCTCATACCTTGAATTTTTAAAGTGAGTGAACTTTGGACTTTGAAAGTCCGAAGTACGTTTTGAGTTTTATACTTTACTTCCATAAATTACTTTAGTCCTTCAAAGTACGAAGTTTGAGTATTATTGACAAAAATTAAAAAGAAAAAAAAGTATACAATCGTAAAAAAATTAAAAATTTGAGAATTTTTGTTAAGGATGTGGTTTATATGAGGCAGTGTTTAAAAAAACGCCGAGTCGAACCGAACTCGCCCGGTTCGACTCGGGAATCGTCATGGACAGATCGAATTGTCGAAAAAAACGGGAATCGTCCGGTTCTAGAGAGAACTGGACGATTCTGTACAGCGACTCGCCGATTCACTGTACGGAATCGGCGAGTCAGTACAGTGAATCGGCGAGTCCCGTACGGTATTTTTTTTTTTTTTTTTTTTTGTATTTGTTATCCATGATAGATTTTTTTGTAATACTTGATCGATTTTTTTGTAATCCATGATCGAATTGTTTTTTTTTTTGTAATCCATGATCGAATTTTTTGTAATCCATGATCGAAATGTTTTTTTTTTTTCTTGTAATCCATGATCGAATTTTTTGTTTTTTTTGTTTTTTTGTAACTCATGATAGAATTTTTTGTAATCTCTGATCGAATGTTTTGTAATACATTGTCGAAATGTTTGTTTTTTTTTTGTAATCCATGATCGAAATGTTTGTTTTTTTTTTGTAATCCATAATCGAATTTTTTGTTTTTTGCTTTTTTTGTAACCCATGATAGAGTTTTTTGTAATCCATGTTTGAATTTTTTGTAATCCATGATCAAATTGTTTTTTTCTTTTTTTGTAATCCACGATCGAATTTTTTGTTTTTTTTTTTGTAATCCATGATCAAATTTTATGTAATCCATGATTGAATTTTATGTAATCCATGATCGAATTTTTTGTAATCCATGATTGAATTTTTTGAAAATTTGTGATTTTTTTTTTTTAATCCATGATCGAATTTTTTTTTGTAATCCATGATTGCAAATTTGTGATTTTTTTTTTTAATCCATGATCGAATTTTTTTTTGTAATCCATGATAGAATTTTTTGAAAATTTGTGATTTTTTTTTTTAATCCATGATCGATTTTTTTGACATTTTGC